TATTTCATCAAAATATTTTTTAAAAGAGCCTCTATAGATCATTTTTTTAAAAGTCTGACAACTAAAAGAAATTTTTTTTTCTGGGAAAACAAATGAGATCCACGCTTTAAAGACTAGGGAGTTGTTCAGCTTCATAAAAATGCAAAGTAGAGGTGCATCATTTGTAACATCTCAGATGAGCAAAGTTTGATAGCACTGCTACTGTGAAGGGTAGGGAACTTGGCAATAGCTATCAAAATTATACCCATTTATGCCCTCTGACCAGAATTCTACTTCTAGGAATTTATGGAGATCTATTCACACTGTCTTGACATTATCTCTGCACCAGATTATTCATTACATTGTTGCTTAGATTAGAAGCAATCTTCTTGTCTATTGATAAGGGACTGGTTTCCTTAAAAGAACAAGGTGTTGATAAGCTGTCCAACTCTGTGACTGTATTAAAACATCTTGGCTTGAACACTGTAAATTGGGGAATTGGACAGCAGGTGTGAATTCTATCCTTAAAGGTTTTACCAAAATAAATAAATAAATGAAACACTCTCCCTTTCAAAAAAAAAAAGGGGGGGGTTCTTTTATGTGTTAATACAGCAGAGCTCCTTGGAATATTAAGTTAAAAAACAAATTCTGGCTTCCTCAATAGAGAACTACCATATCAGGCAGCGATTCCTCTTTTGGGTCTGTACCCTACAGAATTAGAAGCGGGGTGTCAAAGAAATATCTGTGCATCCGTGTTCACAATTCACACGAGCCAGAGAGTGGAAGCAACCAAGTGTCCCTCAACAAATGACAGGATAAATAAAATGTGGTCCGTCCATTCCATGGAATATTACTCAGCCATAGAAAAGAACAAAGCTCTGATACATGGTACAATGCGGATGAACCTTAAAAACGTGCCAAGTGAAGTAAGCCGGGCACAAAAGGAGAAATGGTGTATGAGTCCACTGCTATGAGGGACCTCATACAAAAGGTGCACAAGAATGTGTAAGGTGTAAGAAGCCACTTATGGAGCCTCCGGGGGTAAAGCTGCAGCCTGGGAATCTTCCCTCCACCCTGAAACCCTCACAACAGCTTTTGAATGTTATGTATGAACTGTTTCAAAACACTGCAACGAGCATCAGACATTAGCTCCTATTTTAAAAACCCTTAAAGATAAAACTCCCTAGATTTTTTCTAATCTAATCTAGGGTTGGGGATGGTGTCTTGGGTCATTGGCATGGAGGCTGCTGTCCCAGCGGTGTCCCAGTGAGTCACCTCACCTCCCACAGGATGGCAAACTGTCACAGTGTGCTCAGGACTGCGCAACAGGAGGCCTGGAGTCCCAGGCACACTGGACTGGTGGTCACAGTACCTCCTGGCCCGGGGTATTTATTAATTTGTTGCACAGATGGATGAGTGTGGATGTTGCAAGCCAGGGATCTGAGTCTGCTCGGGTGAGAGCAGGTAAGGAGTGGGGGTCCTCTGTGCCCCGAGCCTGGTACCCCACAGCCCCAACACAGCAGAGGGAGAGAAAGCTGAGGCTGACAGAGAACAAGCCTTCAGGAGGGGCTGGGTTGCAAGGGGCCTCCTTCCCCTGGCTGTGTGGCCTGGGGTGGCTTCCTGCCCCACTGTGGGCTTGTGTGCTCACCCAGTAAATGGGACTGTCAAATGCATTTGCGTCACAGACACCACTGGACAAGCTTATGTCTGCAATGCTCTCAGCACAGCATCTGGCACCAACCTGGTCACGCTTTTCCCCCACCCAGCGGCCAGGAAATGCAGGCTGGCTGGTTGGCTGGCATCACCCACTCAAACCAGTTAGCCTGCTGCTCTGGCAGCCGGAAGGCGCTGGCAGGAGGGAAGCAGCAGGGTGGAGAGGTGGGGCTGCTTGGGGAGAAGAGTTTAGACTCAGCGCCTGCTCGGCAGAGGACGTGGAGACTCAGACACATACATAGACACCCCCACAGACAGACAGCCACACAGCCACACACACACACACACCTATAGACACTCAGACAGACACACACACAGGCACCCATTGTGTACCAGGCCCTGTTGTGTTAGGGTCACAGGGGTATCAAAGCAGACCCCCTGCCCTTGGGGTCGGGGAGACACTCTCCGGGGCGGGGGTAGTCAGTGATCAGGATAAATACAGGGCCGAAAGCAGGTAGGACTGAGGATACGGAGCTGGGGCGGGGATGGTCGGATGGCTGGGGCAGGGTGGGCTTTCTCTAAAGCCCCCAGAGGGCAAGAGAAGTGGCCCTGTGGACACACAGGAAGGGCGTTCCAGGCAGAGGGCACAACATAGGGTTCTCCACTGCCCCTCCTCCCTGTCCTGTCCCCTCCCCAAGCCCTGACTCAGGACGTTCGGATGCAGCAACTTGGGGACAGGATCGAGATGACTTTGGTGGGGAGGGCTTGATGGGGTCAAGACGGGAGGGGATGGCAGCGCAGGCAGGACCCTAGCAGGCCGGGGGGTCTGTATGAGTCTCCCAGGGCCACAGTAACGAATCATGGCAAACTTAACACACATTCGGTATCTGATAGCTCTGGAGCTCAGAGCTTGTCGTGGGTCCCTGTGCTAAAATCGGGGTGTGTGCAGGTCTGCGTTCCTTCTGCAGCTCTAGAGAGAGTGGGTTTCCTTACCGTTTCCAGCTTCTAGAGGCCGCCCACGTTCCTTGGCTCATGGTCCCTTCCTCCTCCTTCAAAATCAGCAGTAGAACATCTTCCACCTGGATGGGGGCTGGTCAGCCTCCCAGTCCTGCTGTCCTCTCTTTGCTCACCCCTGCCACCACCTGGCTCAGCTTAATCCCCTGGACTCACTCATCTCTCAGGGTTCAGATGTCACCTCCTCCAGGAAGCCTGCCCTGAAGACTCCGGGCTCTGCCTCCACAGTTCCCCAGCTGAATACGGATGGGTGGCAGGAGGCCAGGGGAAGGAAGACATGGTGGGGTAGCAAGAAGCAGTCCAACTGCAGAAAATCCAGCCCGTGTCCCTTCTGCCAGGCTCACTACTTCCCCCAGCCTCCCCACCTTTGCCCGCACAGGATCTCCCACCTGAAATCTGGCCCAGGCCTCGGCTCAGCCGAATCCTCTTTTGAGGGCCGCCCCCTCCCAGAGAGCTTCTGCTTCTCCCCTGGGACCTGGACCGCCGCATGACATGCTGCCACGTCACCTATGTCTCTATTACTATAAGTGGCGTGTTCTGAGCACCCCAGGGTGCCAGGCATAGTAAAAAGGAGCTACTAGTGACAACTGAGAAAATTGGCTGCATCAGCTTCTTTTTCCCTGTGTGTCCAGGAGGCCTTGGGGGGCGATAGGGCGAATAAAAGGGTCAATGGATGGAGGGCATCATGAGAGGGGGCTGAGGCCTGAGTGAGAGGGATGCACACATTTGGAAAAGGAGAGTGGCGAGCAAACAGCAAGGGCAGAGAGCCGGAGCCTGGACGGGGAGGGACGGGTTCTCGAAGCCCTACCCCTTCCCGCTGTGGAAATCAAATCCCTACGGTGTGAGGCAACCTACTTAGGGCCCCAGACTTCCCCCACCTGGGCCTGGGTCCGCTTCTGGGATAGGCTCATTGTCCAAAGGTGAAGCCAGCGGCCTGGATGACACGTGGCTGGACGGCAGCTCCAGAATCCTCCCCTCCCTTCAAACGGCACCTGGACCGTGAGGTCCTGGATGATCAGAAATCACCCTCGGTTTACCGGCTGGCCCCTCCCTGATCCTACCCGCTGCTGGTCACGGGTTACTTCCAGGTCACCTTCCGTTCCACCTGGCAGGAGGTCCCGGGGCCGCGCCACCACCCTCACTGGGTAATCTCCAACCCTATCCCACCAGGTCTGCCGCAGGACCCTTGCACCCCACCGAGCCCGAGCCCGCTACCCTCCATGCCTCCCAACTTCCAGGGCGGCCCTACGGCGCCCAGCTCTGCGCCTGGCTGGCGCGCGCCTTGCCCCACCACCACGTACTGGGCGGGCTTGGCGGGCCAGCCGGACCGAGTTCCCAGACTCGGGGCACCTGGGGGTGGCCTCTGAGGCCCGAGGTGGAGTGCGGGCCTCCCCGGGAAGGCCCAGACGCGCGCTCCGGCGGCTCAGGGCGCCCTCAGTGCGTAGGCAAAGGCGCGGGTCAGAGCCGAGCCGGGAGGCGGGGCCCGGGGCCGCGCGGCCAGCAGAGAAGCGGGGCCCGACTGAATACGCAGCGGACAGTGACGGGTTCAAAGGCCACAGATCAGGCACGGGCGAAGCTGGCGGCTGGATCCCGGCCGAGCGCGCCTCCGAAATAGCGGGGTAGTGGGGGAGGAGGCGGTGAGTCTGCGCGGGCCGGGGAAGCGGCCTAAAACCCGGAGGGGACGCCCCGTCCCTGCAGGCCCCGTCCCGCGCCGCGCCCCCAGGCCCCGCAGGCTCCGCCCCGCGCCCTCCAGCTCGGCTGGCCCCACGGCCCTCAGGCCCCGCCCCCGCAGCTCCGGCCTCGCATCCCTAGGCCCGCAGCCCCGCCCACTTCCCCGCCCACGCAGGCTCCGCCCCACGTCCCCCGGCTTTGCCCCCAGTCCCGCCCCCACACCCTGAGCCCGGGCCACGCGCCCAGCCTTTGCAGGGAGCAGAGTCCGGCTGACTCGTGCGGGCTGTGCGCGTCCCCGCGGTGTCCGCAGCTGCCGCCCGCGCCCGGTGCAGCAGGCTGCCTGCGCCCCCAGGTAAGTGAGCGCCCCTCGCGCCGCCCGGAACGCCACCCGCGCGGCGAGCTCCCGCCCCGCCCCTACGGCCATGGCGGCCCCTGTCCGACCCCGTCGCCGCGCCAGGGACGGCCTCTCGGGGCTTCCCACCTTGGCCCAGGCCGCCTCCCCCGAGAGACCGCGCTCCCCGGAGGGCCGGGGCGCCGCGAGCGCCGGAGGACGCGGCTGCGGGCCGGGCAGGAGGGAGTGGGGGCGAGCCTGGCACGGTGACGCGGGGCAATCCGGGCGCGTGAGCGCGAGGAGCGCGGCGGGGGTGTCGGCGGGTCCTCAGCGAATGCATCCGGGGCGCCCACCGGGTGCGGCCTACGTGCCAGGGCCGGGGATGCAGTCGCAGCCTGGCCGAGTAGACTGCTAGGAACCGCATAAACAGATCGTTCCATCCGGTGCTGGGCACGGGGAAGACCTCACATTAGGCAGATGGGTAAGAGTCTGGGAGGGCTTCTCGGAGAAGGTGTCACCTGGGCCTGAGCGGAGCTATCCAGGGCTTTTTAGGCCCAGGAAACAGCAAGATTCTAAGGCAGGGCCCAGCCTGGTGTGTTTGCAGAGCAGAAAGGAGGCCAGCGTGGCTGAAGCACTGTGGGCGAGGGTCAGAGGTGGGGAGAGGCTGGCCCAGGCCTCGAAGATGGCGAGAAGGGTGTGGATTACATTCTCAAGTCCACGGGGACCAGGCAGGCTGAGAACAAACTGAGTGACCTGGTCCGCTGTGTCTTCAGAAGATCCTGTAGCTCCATTGGGCAGGAGACCGGCGGGGGGCTGCTGGTTTGGACCCTACGGAAGGGATGGTGAGCAATGGGGAATCGGGGGTTCCTTTCGGCAGAACGTTGTGTGCATTCGCTGCCTGCCCAGGAGCGAGGCACGCGGGAGATGTCGGGTGTGGCAGCTGGAGTGCGCCGGGCCTTTCATTGCTTTGGTGGAAAGCGTGGGGGAGAAACTGGTTGGGGATGCTGGTGCTGTGAGTGAGTCTGACTTGCAAAAAAACCTGTGAGATGCCACCTGGAGCTGGACTCTGTGCCCAGGTGGGGGTCCCACACGGTGGAGCACAGGGGCCGAGCCGGCCGGGCTGGGGCAACCTGGCTCTGTTGCATGGGGCCGTCCCAAGATAGAAATTCGGGAAGTGTGGGACTATTTTTGAAGACCCCAGTGGCCCTACACTCAAGTCAGCCCCCATCTAGGAGCAGCTGCCAGGCATAAACACAGCTGTGGAAGGGGGGCTGCCCAGAGCCTCTCTCTGCACCCCAGGGACCCCACAGGCCCCACCAGGCAGCAGCAGGAGCAGTTGGGACCTTTCCTGCCCACCCTTCTGGTTTACCTACGGCCAGTGGAGGTGTCTTGAGTGGGGAGGGAAGAGGCGGTGGAGAAAGCTTGCAGCCTTTGTCCTTGACCTGGCTTTGTGGACCCAGGGGGAAGTTTCCTGAGCGTCAGTTTTTCATCTGTAAAATGGGTTGGTAGTAAACCGGCCCCCAGGAATGTTGAGCTCGGAGGAAGCCTGGGCTGGGAAAGGGCTTGGCTGCCCTCCGCAGAAACCCCACACCTGGGGGAGTGGAGGAGGAGGAGGTCGCAGCTCCTTGAGCCTCCCTCTTCTGCTCTGAGCAGCGGGAGGCCTGCGTAACTGAGCGCCAGACCCAGGGCCTTCTGCAGCTTGACTGAGTCGGGCGGGTGAGGTGTTTGGCCCAGCGCCCCGTGTGGAGTGATCACCCAGCACAGGAGCCCCTGGGGTGACTGGTTGGCAGGAGGCAGCAGGCCTCCCAGCACCCCCGGGATGCCCACAGGAAAGCAGGCGCCGGGCCACGTGCCCAGACTCTGCAGGTTTGTGCCTCTCTTTTATCTGGGCCCTGCAGACTGGCCGGTTTCCGCTGGCCATATGGTCCTGTCCTGACGTTTGGGAGTTCAGTGTCCTCAGGCTAGTGATATCACGCCCTCCACACTTGTTTCTTCCCCTGTAAAAAGGGACTAACAGCAGTCATTACCTCAGCACAATGCCCAGCAGTTAGTTAGCACCTTCAGAGCCCCGTGCCTGGAGGGCTGGGGCCGTCAGGAGTGATCTGATTCAGCCTCAGGAGAGGTCAAGGAAGGCTTCTTGGAGGAGGGAGCCACTCATGGGCACTTTACTAAGGATGATTAAGCGTTACTAGGCAGAGAGACCAGTAAGCGAAGCTGTGGAGGGGAGAAGAGAAGCTGCAGGGCGCCTGGGAGAAGCGGGGTGAGCACTGTGGAAGCTGGACCCCGGGGAGGAGAGGATGCGAGAGAAATGGGTCCCGCATAGGTTGGAGGTGGGGCAGGAGGGTGTGGCGGCTGAAGAGCCACTGAAAGGCAGGCAGGATGCAGGGCAAGGCCGCAGTGTTCTTGGCATCTGGAAACTGCGATGCTGCCAGATGCCCAGGTGGGCGTGGGGTGCAGGGCACACCTTGAAGAAAAGCCTGGAGCTGGGGACACCTCCCCACCCAGGGGGTTGGAGCGGGCAGGGCGGAAGGAAACCAGGAGGGGGTGGCCAGACAGAAGCCTCGGGAGCCACAGCTTCAAAAAAAAGGAAATGGTCAGCCCAGCTGGTTTCTGGATCCCCTGCTGGGATAATTCAGGGGGAGGCAGGGGGTGTTCTTCCCTTATCTGGCTGTCCTACCCCCACCCCTACCTCATGCCATTCAGAGTGGGCTTTTTTACTTTGCTGCCCCTGAATAGGCCCTCTGACCCTGCCCTGCTCAGAGCGGCATAGAGGAAGCTTTTCTCCTCCCTCAATCTGGACTTTATACCTTCATTAATGTGATGCTGTCAAACCAGTTCCTCACACTCAACTGGCACGTGCTCAGCTATCGCCCCTCCCCCTCTAGGGCTCCCAACCCCCTATTTTGCCTCAGGGTCCCACCGACTTGTGTGTCTGAGGAAGGGTGAAGCCCTTGCCAGGCACGCTCCCAGAGGCCCCCTCTACCTCGTGCTTGGCCCTGCCTCCCTTCCATATCTGTCAGTTATTTATTGAGCACATGTTTATGAAGTGCCTGGACTGGGCAGTGCTGGGAACTAGCTGGGAACAAAAAGAAGCTTCACTGCCCCTTGCCAGAAAACGTCCATGTTGCGGATGTTCTCAGAGAAGGGACTTGGGGATGGAGATGAGACCTGAATGATGAGAAGGAGCCAGACAGGTGGACATCTAGAGGAGGAGCATTCTACGCAAAGGGACTGGCACGTGCAAAGGTCCTGGGACAGGACCGGGCCTGGCAATGTTGGAGGAACAGCAGTAAGGAGGCCTGCATGGCTGGAGCAGAGTGAGTGGGGCCAGAGGCGGGATAGAGGGAGGAGGGGCAGACAAAGAGACCGAGGGTCTTAGGGCCCCCCAGACTAGCAGCAGCAGACCTCAGGAGGGTCCTTGCTGGAAGAGTGAGGGGTTGTCGGGCCCTGCTGCTTTGTGGCTTCCAGGGGGGTTGTTTTGGTACTTTGTCCCCTGTGTGCAGCAGTCATCCCGTGACCTTGAAGGCAAGGAGGCTGCCAGGAGGAAGAAGAGAAAACCACCCCTTTTTCCTGGTGGGCAAGGCTTCTCCACTTCACCCTGCACTTGGTGGGCTCCGCTGGCCTGAGAGACTCCCTCGGCTGGGGGCAGGAAGTAGCCGGGGCGGTGGGGGGGCGCTGATGGCAGGTTTGGAGGAGGAGGCAGGACAGAGCTGGGTGTTGCAGCAGGATATTCTTCCGTGGCAAGAGCTCTAAGGGACGCAGGAATGGCAGGCAGGGGCCCGGCTGGCTGGGCCTTGGGTTGAGCAGCAGGAACCAAAGCAGATGTATTTTGAGGATGGTTCGGCTAGCCGGCCAACACCAGATGGAGCAGAAAGGACTCAGCTTTCCCTCCCTGTGCCCCGTGTGGGCAAGGGCCTGGTTGCCTGGGCCTGGACGTCCTTCCCGTCCCCCCGCACCGACCCAGCTGTGCCCCAGACCTCTCCAGCTTCAGAGGCTCTCCTGAGGGGATGTACACTCAGACCCAAGGACCTAGATGGGAGTTGCTGCTCAGCCGAGACACTGTGACCACGACTATACTGTGCAAACTAGGGGAGGGTGCACCTCAGGGCAGCTCCTGCTGGCCCTGACTCAGGCATGGTAATGATCCTGGCAGGTGCGAGGGAGCCCCAGCTGGGCGGGGAGTGGGACTGAGCTACTGGGTGATGGGGAGGGACCAGGACAGTGACGGGAAGGGGGAGCAGGCAGGTAGCGCTGCACATGTCTGCCTCTGGGTCTCATTTCTGTACCTGAGATGCTGGTTAGATAGGCACCTCCCTGCCCTCCCCTTTTGCCCTGCAGCCCTCTGTTCCCATGGGCTTCCTTTCTGTGTCTTGAAGCTACCACCCTGGCACATACCTCTGGGCCTTTGCAGGGACTGTTCCCTCTGTCCAGAATGCTGTGTCCCCACAGCTTCTTCTCTTAGCCTTTTCCTCCGACATTACCTTCGTAGGGAGAGACCCTTCTGACCTGGTATATGGTAGGTGCCCAGTAAGTGTTTGTGACGTGGCAGGGTGGTCAGCTGTGAAGACAGGCGGCCTTAGGTCCACATCCCAACCCTCTACTTCCCACTTTGTGCCCTCGGGCGACTATGCCTGTTTCTCCAGCTGCGAAACATGGACAACAGCGGCACATGGCACTGGACATCTGTTACAGCTTTCTGGGGGTCTGGCCAGAGACTAGAAGCCATTGGGGGTACTTTAGACCCTGGACGGGACACTTGAAATATTCCCATGTCTTCCCAGAATTTTCTAGAAGTGTGTGGAAAGTGAGGGCCATCAGAACCTCTGAAGAGGTCATTTTTATTTTTTAATCCTCTTCATGGACTTTGAATCTTTCCCTTTAGGATACAAAAATGATTTCCATAGACCATTTTCCAGGACAAATGCCATGACCAGAAGGTAGATGTTGTTGTCTGTACCATTTTCCAAAGGGCAAACTTCTAACAGTAAAATCTGATTTCTCCTCCACGGCCAAGTGTCATGTTTTCCTGTGTAATGAGAGCTCAGGGCGATCCTGGCCTGCAGCTCAGATGGCGATTCTCGGAGAAGGGGTCGGGTCACACCCAGGCACCCACAAGCTTCCCCTCACATAGTTCTCCCTGGCCGAGTAGCGGTTTGGGATTTTTGAAGCACAGGCTGTTTTACACACAGGATTCTCCTGATTTGGCCGAAGTCCTGAGATGTAGGCGTGGGGCGTGCTTACTGCACCCCGGGGCCTGTGTGAGCACTGGGAAGAGGGGTGTGCCCAATGCTGGTCCTAGATTTAGTGAGGTTGGTCCTGAGGGGTTAGGTTCTCACAGCGTCTTCCCAGGACCCAGCAAGAGTCTTGGCGCTTGAGTTGCCAAAATTAAAAAAGTCTCTTGTGGTGACTTCTGCGTCGAGACGCGAGCCAGCCAAAGGGCCACAACTGCTCACCTGGGTCCCCCTGTTCCAGCCTGGGACCGAACTCATGCAGGGCTGGAATGGGCGTAACCAAGTGAAATTTTGGAAACGGGTAAGAAGGTCGTGCCTTTAGGACTCTGGGTGATCCCAGAGAACACAGGTCGTGGGCAGAGGTATTACAGGTGTAGCCACCAAATAGTTCTTTGCTAAGAAACAGGCTGAATCTCTGTCGTTACTGAAGTCATCTGCAGTCACCGCCCTTGGAGAATTTTAGCGACATTACATTTGTGCTTTGCCAAGGCGTTGGCATTGCTCTACCCGCATGTTTGTGACTTGGCGTCCCTGGGGGGGAGGTAATATTCAAGCCAGGGCCTGCGTCGTGGCTGGCGCTGGACGCTGGTGGGATCTGGACCTTGCTGACTGCCCTCCCAGAGCCCCTATTTGACACATCCCCGGGCAGCTCCAGGGCAAAAGGAGGGACCACAGGCCGCCTGACCCCCGCCAGCATGTCCGGAAGGCTTCCTGGAAGCAGCAACAGAAAGCTGCTTACTTGACCGGGTAGGGGAATGGGGTGGATAGTGAGTGACTCAGGCCCAAGGCCTGGCATCCAGGTGTTAGGTGAGGGGACGTTTCTGAGATTGGAGCAGACCCTGGGAATCCAGCCCCGGGCTCCGAGCTGAGAACCACAGGGTCTGGGTGGCTGCAGGAAGCCCTCCTGGCGCTCTCGAGTGGGGCAAAGGACAGGCTGGTACTGTGAGAGCCAGCCTGGGGGGGCGAGGGATGCATTGGCCTGAGCCCCCAGCCACCCTCCCTCCCGCTGTTTCACCAGCATCATCCCGGAGGAGGGGCTGCCCTCGAGGTCATCGGGAGGAAGTGTTTTGCCTTCTGTTACACAAACGCCTCTGTCCTTAAAGGGCCCAGGGACAGACAGCCTGAGAGCCCCAGCTGGGACCCTCTCCGCCTTGGCCCGAGGGGTTTGCCACCCCAGCCCAAGCCGGAGTGCCACAGGGCTCCCCGCCCTCCTCAGCAGGCAGGCGGAGCTGGGAGGGTGACTCAGGCTCATACGCAGTGCTGCTGGCCCTAGGCCGCCCAGCAGGAGCCATCCCCCAAGGTCTGCAGACTCTCAGGTCCACATGTCATGCCAAGTCGGGGCGGGGGAAGAGGCAGAGCTTGGGGGTGCTGTTCTCCCCCCGCCCCACATTGTGGCTCCTCTCAGAAGGCACATCCTCCAAGTCCCACCCCTGGAATGTGCCCAGGAGGGCTGTTCTCGTCACCTCCCCACCCTGGGACCATGGGTCCCCCCAATTCCTGCCCAAGCAGTAGTTCCCAGATCAGACTGCTTGCCCTGAATTCTCTATCGCCACCCAGTCCTGTCCCAGCCCCTGTCCCCTCCCAGATGCCAGCCATTGGTGATCCCTTGGAACGGCCCTTCCCTAGGCGTGGCATCCCGGGGACAGCCATGTGCCCGGAGAGGTCACAGAATCACCTCCACCGGTGACAGAGGCCCCAGGCTCCCCTGGCTGCTGCTGTGTCTTTAAGGCCCATGTGACAGACACTTCCCAGGTCCTGGCCGGAACTGAGTGTCACTGTGTGTGTCTTACGGGGTCGCCATCTGCACGTGACACCGATGCTGGCTTTCTCCTTTGGGGCAGGCAGAAGAGAAAGTTTCTTTTGAAAATAAAAATACATAAGAGAAAAGGAAGCCTCTTGAAGCAGCCTGGAAGTGCCAAATAGTAGGTGGGCGAGGAACGGCTGAAGTGGGAAGGATGGAGGGAGGGCCCCTACCCCAGCCCCAGGAGAGCTTCCTGGAGGTAGTGTCTGTAGAGCGGAGTCATGAGGGGTTAACCAGAAGGACTCTGGCTGGTAGAACGGAAGACATTACCGGTAGGGGGAACAGCATGTGCAAAGGCCCCAGGGGTTTGCTGGGAGGGCAGGGCTGGGTCGGTGGGAGCACCCTCGTGTAGAGCCAAGGTTCTGATGTGCACGTTAGAAGGGTGGCCTGGATGCTGAGGGAGGGAGGTGGCCCGGGCACAGACCACAGTGGTTGCCATGACGGACAGGGTCACAGCCGTGGCAACCAGCAGAGAAGGGAGTCGCTTGGCAGTCACAGGGGTGTGGATGCCATGAAGGAGCTGGTGAGTAGCTAGCATCCAGGGTGTGTGCCAACTCCCAGATTCCTGTCCCCAGAGACTGGGTGGAAGGTGGGATCCTGACCGAGAAGCCTCGGGAGGAAGAAAGCACACTGGGTGCGGAATGACCTGAAGGTGATGCGTCCAGACAAGGGGTGGTTTTGGCTTAGCAGGTGTGACACCGGGCAGGGAAACCTCGGAGCCGCAGGGGTCTGGGAACGGGCAGCAAGCGTGTGCGGATTGTGGCTGCCAGGGGTGAGATTTCCCAAGGAGCACATGGCCCCGGAGGGCCCAGCACCGGCCTCCACCTGGGCCAGCCTGGATTGGGGACAGAACAGCAAAGGTGGGGGAGTTGTGGTGCCAGTTCTCGGAAGGAGGGACAGACAGGGTCAGGCACACCACTGGGAGGTCATAAACCTGGACAGGGACTTGGCTACTGGGCTGGGCTGGAAAGAGGGTCACTGGGGACCCAGGCAAAGTCCAAAGTCGGGGGTGGGGATGGAGTGAAAGACAGGCTTCCAAGCAGCAGGTCCTGAGAATGCTCAGCTGGCTGCTGTGGCCATGTTGGGGTTCTGTGGACCTGTGTCCATCTGGACTGCCTGGGCTTCAGAGCAAAGTCCAAATTCCAGCTATTTACTAGCTATCTGACCCCAGGTGGGTGTATCCATGTCTCTGAGACTCAGTTCACCTGTGAAATGGGCACCCTACCAGCATATTCCTCAGGATGTGGCTAACATTTCCATGGTAGGGAGGCAGGGCCCTGAGGCCAGCCTCAGTGAGTGACGCCTGGCAAGCTACCACGTGGCCCAGGTGCGGTGGGCAGTCCCTGGTGGGTGTGGGCAAGGCCCGCCGTCCCAGAGAACAGGCTGGCTTGTGCCGCTGGCCTCCGTGAATGCCGTCCCCAGGGGGGCAGCTGGTGGGAGAAGCAGGACAGATGTTAGACCTGCTTGGGCAGAGGAGAGATGCCACCAGAGTGCCACCTGGAGCTCACAGTTCTCTCCACCCTGGAAGGTAGGTAGTGGCATTTCCAAAGGCACTGACGTTGACTGCAAACCGATTCTCTTTTACTAAGATATCGTTGATACGCAATCTTGCAGAGGTTTCACATGAGCAATATTGTGGTTATTACATTCACACATTATCAGGTCCCCCACCCCCACCCCATTGCAGTCACTGTCCATCAGCGTAGTAAGATGCTGTAGAGTCACTACTTGTCTTCTCTGTGTTGTACAGCCCTCCCCATGCCCCCCTCTACATTATGTGTGCTAATTGTAATGTCCCTTAATCCCCTTCTCCCTCCACCCCCACCCCTCCTCCCTTTGGTAATTGTTAGTCCCTTTGTGGAGTCTGTGAGTAGCTGTTGTGCAAACTGATTTCTTAAATGGTGAACTGGGGCTGGGGGGAACTCACTGCCAGCTAGAAATGCCCCCTCTGAGCCCCTGTCTCCTCTGCCAACCACCCCTTCAGTGGAAACCTTCTCTTTTCTCTTGTAGTAATACAATTTTCTATTGAAAAAGTCACCCTTAATATGTACATGTCCTGGACTATTACTCAGCCATAAAAAGGAAGGACGTCCTGACCCCTGCTGCAGCGTGGAGGGACCTCGAGGACACTGTGCTCAGGGACATAAGCCCGACACAGGACAGATCCTGTGTAACTCCACTCCTAGGAGGTCCCTGGAATCGTCCAATTCATAGAGACAGAGAGGAAAATAGGGGTCACCAGGGACTGGGGCCTGAGATGGAGAGTTAGTGTTTAATGGGGACAGAGTTTTGATTTTGCAAGGTGAGTTCTGAAAGAAGATGGGGTGATGGTTACCCAACAATATCTATACTTAATACCACGGAATTGGATACTTATCGGTGAAGATGGTAAATTTTTGTTATGTGCATTTTACCACAATTTTTAAGTCCCCCTGAAACACACTTCTTATAAAAATCAGTGAATCACAAAACAAGCTGACAGCTCCCCGCTGCCCTGACTTTCTGATACAGCTCCCTTGAGCGTGGACTATATCTTTACAGCCTTATAGCCTTTTTCTACGAGTCTACATGTACGTGACCATAAGGAAAAATAAAAAATCCTTTGGTGCTTTTTTCATGTTTCTTTTAAGTATTTTTCCTGCCTCATTCTCTTTCTCCTTCTGGGACTCCAATTGCATGCACAATTTTTTGATATTGTCCTAAAGGTCACTGAGACTGCACATTTTCAAGAATCGTGGTAAAGCATACACAACATGAAATTTACCAGTTTCTCCAATTTTAAGCGTGCGATTCAGCAGCATTAAGTATGTTCACCACGTTGTGCAACCATCACCACCATCCATTTCCAGATGCATTTTTCTAGTCGATCTTTATTTTTTCTTCCTGTCCTTCGGTTTGGAGATTTGCTGCAGTCTCTCTCCAAATTCACTGACCCTTTCTTCTGTCATCTCAGATCGGCTCTCAAGCCCACACGTGACTTTTTAATTTCAGATATTTTTCAGTTTTAGAATTTCCATTTGGTTTATTTTCCTACTTTTCCATTGAGGTTTTTCATTTGTTCATTCATTAGGAGCTAATTTCTCTTTACACCCTTGAATGTGTATAGCTGCTTCAGCATCCCTACCGGCTCACTCTAACATTTACATCCCCTCTAGGAAGCCCCATTCATTTCCCTCCTTCTTAAGTACCAGTCATGTTTTCCTGTTTCCTCATATGTCAAGTAATTTTGGATTGTAGTCTGAACATTGTGAAAGATGGAGAGACTCAATTCTGTTGTGTTCCTCTGAAGGGCATGGCTTTCTTTTCTGTGAAGTTTCATTTTTGTTTTTGTCAGGCAGTGAACCTGTCTGAACTCCAGCTCCAAGTCTTATTTTCCTTGGGATGGGTGGCAGGTGAAACCTCAGTTTCTTTCTTTCCGCCCTAGCTGGGCTGGTTGGCGTCTTCCCCTCGCATGCACGGTGCGTGGGTTAGCAAGGGGCTTGCACAGAGTTCTCTCCTACAGAATTGGAAACTTCCTGTTTCTGGCTGTTACCTTTCCTACCTGGTCTGTTCCATTCTTGAGCTGTGGCAATCTCTCTGGACTCTCATTTTTCAAGCCAGTTTCTGCCATCGGGGGAGACCAGTGGGGAGGCTCTGGGGACTGCTAGCAGCTGGGCGTGGGATCTGGCTCCTGGACCACAACTCTTCTGATGGTTTTCTGTTACTTACATTATGGTGGATAATGATTTTAAAAATGGGGAACTCACCCTATGCTGTTCCTTTTTTCTAAGTATAGGCTCCCCTCCAAAGTCTACCTATTTTGGGTTCCTCTCTGGACCAGTACCTTCCAGAATTTTCCGCAGTGATGGAAATGTTCCATACCTGCATTGCCCAGGAGGGGAGCCCCAGAGCCCCAGGCGGCCGTTGAGTCCTAGAAATGTTGCTGGTGCAAGTGAATTTGAAATTTCATTTAATTTTAATGAATTGAAATTGAAATAGCCACATGCGGCTAACAGCTGCTGAGCTCTTCGGGCGGCTTTCTGTTCCAGAAATTACGAGTCAGGCCATCAGCGTCTCTCTGCATTGTGCTTTTATGATTTTTCAACTCAACAATCCTCCCAAGTCAGTGAGCGTAGCTTTTCCTCTTTTTTTCCGCCCTTCTGTAATTTTTTAGATTAAAAGCATTTTTTTAATTGTGGTAAAATACAGGTAACATACAATGTTCCGTCTTGAGTGTTTTGAAGCACACAGTTCAGTAATGTTGATCACGCTGACATCACGGTGCAGCCGTCCCCAGCCCCCATCCCCAGAACGTGCCGTCTTCCCAAACTGAAGCTCTGTCCGCATGAAACACTAACCCCCACCCCTTCTCCCCCAGCCCCTGGCCCCAGCTGCCTCTGGGGTGGGGACTGCTCATCCCGCCCCCCAACCTTCCTCAATCCTTCTGGAAACCTCCGTGATGGACCCCACAGTGTACACCCCACACAAGGTGGTGCTGGGGACCCCACAGGTCTCTCCCTGGCCTGGACCTACTGTTTGGAGGGGTTAGACTCAGAGCCAGCTGGCTTGCTAAGCTCTAGGACTGAAGAAAGGCCCAGGGGTGGGGTGGCCTTGGGAGGGGGCCTGCCCTGGGTGGGAAGGCCTCTTAAGTAGGGAATTTAATCTGACCCAGGTCCTGGGCGGGGCAGATCCTGGGAGCCCGCCCGACCTGCAGAGCCACCCTCTGTTCATTGTTCTATTTTGTGGGGAGGGGGGTGAGGACAAGGGGTATTCTGAGTAGGTGCCAGGAGAGTGGGAGGGGCGGGGGGTGCTGGAGAGGGGCTGGGGACCCCACGGCTCACCCTGCCTGCCTGGGAGGTGTAGAAGTTAAGAGGTGGTGTGCCAGGCTAACCCAGGAAGCTTAGTGGGAAGGCGGGTAGGTGCCTGCTCCCTGGGGAAACTTGCTGGGCAGGGGCAGGCCTGGGGAGCCTCACAGTCCTGTGAGCCCTGAGCCCACCGGCAGTGCAGACCAGCCCCCTCAGCCCCCCGCCCTGGGGAGCTTCCAGCCCTGGTGCTTTCTTTCCCTTGGTGGCTGGGTGGCATCTTGCTTTGAGCTGAAGCTTTCTAGTTCTGAAAGAGGGAGAGACAAGGGGTGGTTTTGGCTTAG